TTGATCTTGGGACTGTGAAGAAACTAAACTTGGTTTTAATTGTTTTTCTTACCTTGGAAAGTAAGAAAGTGGCATCTATGTAGACTCATCTCTGTTGAGGTTAAGATAATGTCTATCTGATTATGTGAATTTTCTGGGTAGAGATGGTTGAATTTATTGGGGCAAATTTAATATTTGTTTGTCATAATTTTTCTGTCATAAAATAACTAAAGATAGTGGGGTTTTCCCTCATTTCTTGCCATGTCTGAATAGTTAGTTGCATTTAGTCATTGTTGCAGATGATGAAGTTCTACATTCAGTAGTACTTGTTTCTGTTTCTCTTTATGATAGGAAATTTTTGAAACACCAGCTGAGAGGAAAGAACTGTGAACTCCTATTGGTGGTGCCAGAGGAGGTGGAAGCACATCAGACCTGGAGAGCTGACGTGTGACCTGGGCCGACTGTCCTCCCACTACAGTTCTTCCCCTTTACTGAACTCCTGATGTCCTAAAACCTGGATAATGGGTGCCCCGACTCTTCTCATCTGGAATTTCCTTTGTTAGGCTCTTCTCTTCCCTCCTTGGTGTAATAGGGCAATGGCACAGGACATTGGGAGTGGTGGGTGGGGAAGAGCTGAGGGCAGAGCAGAGGAAACTGGAAGCCAATCACTTTAATTGCACGGTGGATGAGCTGCAGTGCCCTTTGGACAGCTGGAAGGCATCGAGCTCTTGAAAAACTGGGCTGGGGGAAAGTGCCTGGAAACCGTGGGCCTCCATTTCCCCATGTGGTTCAAGGCTGCCTGTGGTGGAACGCTGCTTCCTCCAGGGCTTGTCAGGAAGGAGCAGGGGCTGAGCATGCTGCCACCTCTTTACAGTTCTCTCCCTCCAAAACAAGTTGTCATGAAGACATTTGCAATTCCTAAGGGTCTCTCAGGACACTCAAAACACTAGCAATGGTACGGTGCTCAGCACGACCCTCTGCTTCTTAGGGCTGGTTTGTGCCAGGAATTAGGAAACAATAATAAAACCAGTGTCATCTTCCACTAAATTCTTTAGGTAGCTAGAGGATTCTTCCCCAGGGTCTCCAAGGATTTATGTATGTGGTGAGCGGTTGTCTGGCAGTGTGTCTGGGTAAGGTGACGTGGAAACAGCAGGCGCAGGCTGACTGAGGAGTATCAAGTTTCTGGACTGGAGAGAGGCCACAGTCTGCTTGGGTTTCTTTCGTGCTATGGCGAGGTTTTTTTTACTATTTTTTGACAGTTAGATTGGTTTTCTGCATGGTCACCCAGTAGTTTAGGGGCTGCTTGGAGAGAGGAATAAAGCTGAAGAGGTTTTCAAATAAATTAATTCCCTTTTATTTTCCTCTCTCCACAAGTCTAGCCCACAGTCATGGATGTCACGTGAAATGAAAGAGGTCAAGTTATAAAATAAAACTGGGCTGAGGAAGGGAGCCTTTGTAGCAGTCAGTTTTGCCCTTTTATTGCTACCATCCACTGGTGTGGGAGCTGCAGAGGGTCCACCAGAACTTTCAGGCTTTGGAGACACCCTGGCTTGGTAGTTGAACCAACCTCTCCTTTAGCGTTGGACAACAAACATTCCATTAATGGGTGAATTGCTTTTTCCTGCCTTCCATGGGGAAGAGAGACTAGACACGGAGACATTAGGAGGAATCTCTACTGGCTGCTTCCCAGTCACCCAGGAGAGCTGTAGCTCAGCCATGCCTTCTATAGCAGGAGGAGGAAATGCTGAATTTGGAACTGGCTTTGTTGTGTTTAGTGCTTCCTGGCTGAGCTGCTGTTTGCTTCCATCTTTACACGTCTTGGTTGAAAAGCAACCTCTGGGACCTGATGGAGCTTGAAGGATCCTGTTCCATCATGCAGGAAGCTCTCATTACTGGTGTTTGAGCTGGTGAAAGGAGGGATTGTAATGATCTTTTCTCAGTTATTTTTCTCTTCAGAACTCTGCAAATGCATGAGCAGGTGCTCAAACCTGAGAGACCACCAAAGTGGCACCATTCCAACAGAGAACAGAGGCCACATGACGACAGGACGATAGTGTTTGCTGACCCCTGGACATCTGGCAAGCACTGTTGCAGTCCTTTGAGCACAGCCTCCCACAGTCAAGGGCAAATGGCTCTTATGTTTTAAAAAGTCCTATTTCGTAACACATTCCAATGACCAATACCAGCTGGCAGAGTTTTTAAACACTTTCCAGGCAGGATGTTCAGCCTGCAGGCATTCTGCTCCTGACTTGAAGCCATTTCTTCAAGAGGGGAAAATATAAATCTCAACAGCAACATTTTCTATGCTGATTGAAGTTGCACTTTGGAGAAAAACCCTGTTTGCATGGAAACTGCAAGCCAATGGATCAGTGCACAATATGCAAAGATGTTTTAAAATACTTAGGGGCTGCTTTCCCGGGGGAGAAACAGTGTGATCCAGCTGCTCAGGTAAAGGGAAAGTGTATGATCACATCCCCGTGGGAGGTGAGGCTACTGTGCCCGAGGGTGGGTGAGCTGGTCCAGTCCCACTGCTCGGGAGCGGGGAAGCCCCTCTTTGTTTCCTTGCTTGTTTGGTTTTGTTAGAGCCTTGTCTTGGGTTTGTTTACAGAGATGTATTTTGTTTAACCAAATATTAAAAATGGAAAAAAAAAAAAGTTTCCATATAAATGTCCTATCACTTCTGTATGTTCAATTGAATTGTTCTGTAACAAAGTATGTAAAGGATAAATAAATTTTTTTTCTTTGGTTATAAAACCACCACATTTCTGTGATTTAAGGACCTTGAACGGTGGATACTGGTGCTGAGGTAGGATCACCTCCCAGAGAATTCCCTTAAGCCATGCAAGGCTTCCCCACCCCTCTGAAGGTGACAAAGCCATATTGGCCCCTTCTGCACTGCCAGGCTGTGCATGAAATGGAGAGATCCCTACCCAGAAATCCCCCAGCAGCTCTGAAAGAACTGAGCCTCCCTCAAGGACATCTATTAAAACCACACTGCTCAGGTTGGATTTATTTAATATTCCATACAAAAAAATACGCAGCTGATGTCTGTTCTACTTTATGAGGCAGAGAATCTGCGTGGATGTGATCGTCTCAAACCTGGCCTGCTGCTCCCTCGGTTCTCACACACACACAGCTGCAGTGAAAGTGTTTCTGCAGATGCATCTTCCCAAAGAGTATTTTCCACGGGGTATTGATTGCCACCAGCACCCCTCCTTCCTCTGCTGGGAAAGTCACACTTCCTGCCCACCACTGTCTTTCAGCTCCAAAGCAGGCAGGAAAGCATTTGTTGTGTCTGACTGGTGCTTTTCAAAGCCTGACCTGTGCCCCAGGGTGTTTTCTGCGGGCAAGAAGCTGGCAGAGGAGCTCCCCCGGTCCAAGTCTGTAACTGGTTATGGCATAGTGATTGAATAAAAGGAAATACTCATGATTTCTAAAGGAGAGGGGGATGCAGACAGGAGCCATCATCAGGTCCAGAGGGGGGCTTCCCTCCCTCGTTATGAACAGGTCAATGTCCCAAAGGAGAACCAAAAATAAAAAGAAAAAATGCCCTGGCCCAACAAATCAACAGTTCAATATATCATAATCGCAAGGTCTTCCCACTTGACACTTGATATGAATCCAACTCAGCTTCCGCAAATTAGATTTTTCCAGACAGCGGAGGCAGGGCCCCTGGCATTCCCCCTGAGAGCCCCGTGTTGGGTCCGAGGAGGATCTGGAAAGAAAACAATTGGTTGAGGGGTTTCAAGGACACAAGACAGCCTTGCCATGCTGCCCCCCTCCTATAGGTACTGGTGGCACTTTGCAGCTCCAGTCCCGTGCCTGCTGCAACAGCCAAGGTCAGCGCCCGACCACACCCCCTATTTCAATGCCTCACAGCGTATTTTGGCTGGTGAAAGCCAAAAATACGGGATTGCTGTCAGCCTGACATTGGGAAGCAGTAGGATTGTCCAATTAGAACATCCAGCCAGAGAATCTGGTGGAATTAGTGAGGCCACAGACTGAACCCTTCTCCCCAGGCTCCCAAAGCAGCGGGAAGTGCAGGCACTCCGGGGCAGGGCCGGGAGAGAGAGCTGGCCTTCCTGCCTCACCTGTCGCTGCTGCAGCTGCTGCTGTTGCTCCATCTGCAGTTTTTCGGTTTCAAAGACGACAGGAAGAACCAATATCATGAAGGAGGTGGTCCCAATCCACAGAGCTGCCCTAGAGAATCTATCAAGCAGAAAGAACCCTAAGAATCAGTTCTTACTGGCACAATCCCGCGTTTCCCTTCCGTGCCTCAACCATAAACCTGCCTCCAAATCCAACCCAAGCTCCGGGGCATCTCCTTATCCCCGCCCTGCCCAAGCCGCCCATAAACAAAAACCGTGGCTCTGCCGTTCCCCGCAGGCCCCGCACTGCGCTACCAGCGGCCAAAGCCACCGCGAAAACCGGCGGAGCCACCCCGCGCCCCCGCTCTGCTCGCCGGGCCAGCTCCGAGGGGCTCCGGCCCGGTCCGCCGCCCCCTCACCTGTACATCTTCTGCGCTACCGTCAGGGACAGGTCGAACGTAGCCCCAGCCGCCGATCGGACGCTCTCGGGGAACATCTCCGTGAGTCCCCACAGCCGCTCCGCCAGCGTCTCGTCCAGCTGCGGGCGGCATCACCATGTCAGGCCCCACCGCACGGCCCTGCACGCCCCGCGGGGTCATCGTGCCCGCCCGGCCTTCCCCGCTGCCCGCCCCGATACCTCTTCATCGTCCTCCTCCTCCTCGTCGAGCTCGTCCTCCAGCTCCTCGGCCTTGCCCGCGCCGCCCTTGGGCAGCAGCTCCTCCGGGGACAGGGACGCCGCGGCCGCCATCGCCACCAGACAGGACGGAAGGAGCGGCGGCCAGAGCGCCGCCGGAAGCGCAGCGGCCCTCCCGCCACCCAGACCCGGGCGAGGCAGCGGCCCCTGGCGGCCCGGAGGATCACCGGCCACTCCCGCCCCGGCCTCCGCAGCACAGCGCGACGCGTTACAAACAGCCTCAGAACCGGGTTTTAATTCATGGTTTTATGTAAAATACGTAAAACTCTCAGAACGAGCAACTCCAGCATCCTGCTCGCCCAAGGCAGACGGTGAGGTTTGTACAAGCACCTGCGGGCTCTCCAGGGGGAGCGGGCAGAGGTCTCCCCACTTCGATAAGCAGAGAGGGCGAGGAGCAGCCCTCATGGAGACGGATCTTCTCCACTGCCTGTTGTCCGGCTGCCTTAGAGAAGAGGGTACCTAAGCTGGGCTGCAGTGAGGAAACGTAGCAAGGTAAAGTGCTCTGAGGAAAACCGTGTTAATGAACAGCACTGTGGTGCCAAACCAACCATTAGCAGTACCCACGGCACCACACAATGCTGGAGACATCTCGGCACCCGTGGTCCTGTGAAACAAAGTACCTCCACACAGTACCAACATGGCTGGGAGGCCCAAGCCAGCCCCAGCATCCCGTGGGCCAAGACCAGCCTGGCCACCTCTTGTTCACTTCTTCCTCCGGTTATGCTGCTTCAGCTCCTCCAGCTCCTTCTCCATGAGGTGGGACTCGGCCGTGGTCTCAGAGAGCTGGAACGCACAGCAAACAACAGCAGGAGTGAGTTAAAGGCTCTTGAGGCCTTTCCAACTTCACAGCACAACTGAGATTTACAGCCACAAGCCAGGTCCTGCAGGAGGGAATTTGTTCCCTCAGCAAGGGGGAAGTTGCCATGTCACGCTTCACTGAGATCACCTGGAAAAGCTGGAGAGCAGCTAGCACTTCTGCTATGTGTTTCGGCCACAAAAGCCATTTTCCAGTTTTAAAACACATGAAGAGTGAGGAAAGAAAATATTTGTTTTATTGTGACATAAAGGCTAAATCACTTATTAACTGAGAATAGATGTGTGTTCTATTTCACTGAATGTCTCTCCAGATTTTAAGCATGAAAGCTGTGATCTCTGGGTAAGGTTGAAATTCGGTTTATTTACTGGAAATTCTTTCATCCACAGCTTTACAAATAGGATATATGTCCCACCTCTCATGACAGCAGACGGGAGCTTTAAACTTTTGTGACCAGAAACAGTAGTGGTAACTCAGTTTCATAGTTAGGGCAGAGGACAGAGTGGGAAGAAAATGCCATATTCTGTGCAGAAAGGGAAACAGGAGATACGGCACTTGCAAGGGTTTCCCTCTCCTCAGTCATAGTGCTCGCAACAAACTCTGTTTTGTTTGTTGTTCTGTTTGTGGGGGGAACCTTCCCCTCTTTTCACAGAGGGGATCAGGCTTTACTCCCTCAGTCACTTTGCCATTACACCTGTGTTGCACGGCAGGGTAAAGCAGACAGCGGGGTGCAATGAGAGCAGCCTTCTTCACGAGACCCAGCACCCTTTGCTCAGACATTCCCACTGCTATGGGCAGGCAGGAGTTGGGCAAAGGCTCACCATGTCCAGCAGAATGTCCACTTTCAGCCGAAGTAGGTTGTTTTCTTCCTCTAGCTGTTGGTTTCGTTTGCGCAAGCGCTGAAGTTCCCTGCGATCCCCCAGGAAGCTTCCTGATTCTTGGAGAAAGGAAGGAGGTCAAAATACAGATTGTCAGCCAACCGTGGCTACTTCATACCAGAGCAAGCTGAGCTGTACTCTACCTGAAACCCAGTGGCCATTTTCAAACTTCAGGCTCTGGCCAGCAAGGTTCATTGTGGGGGTACCGTATTCCAGGCCCAGCTCAACCTCACGGGTAGATCTATCCAGCTGCATGGAGAAGATCATACTCAGAGTTTCATGGAATTCCAGAGCCACCCCCTGCTCTCCCATTTCTTAGTGACTGGCATTCCAGTGGAAAATGCTGGTCCAAATGGCCCTGGAGCCTGGAACCTTACTTTGGTCATGTACTGCTACAATAGTGGACTGGCTCCTCTCACTGCTATCCTTGCACCTTTTCCCACCCACTCCCACCCACTCATCTCCCTGCACTTGGAGACTACTGGTGAGAAGTTTTCAGTGACACAGTTCTGGACTGCAGGTGGGGTGATGATGATTCTTCCCTGAGCTATTCCATTTCTAGCTTCATGTAATCACCAACGATCAGGAATGGTGCTGCACCGCAGGAGGAAAGCAGCACAGTTGAAATAATACAATATACTGAGTTGGAAAGAACCCACAAGGATCACTGGGTCCAGCTCCTGACCTCGCACAGGACCATCCCCAAGAGCTGCACCATGTGCCTGAGAGTATTGTCTAAACACTTCCTGAACTGTCAGGCTTGGTGCTGTGACCACTGCCCTAGGAAGTCTTCCAGTGCCCAATCACCTTCTGGGTGAAGAACTTTTTTTCTGCCCCAGAAGCAGCTGAGAGCTCTTGCAAGGATTATGGCACTCACAGCAGGAGCCACCCACCTCTGCCACCAAGGCAGCACTCCTGCAGCAAACCGCAGGTGCTGGGACTCACCAGGTGCAGGTTGGACAGCGAGGCCCATTTCCTGGGGGGCGTCTTCTTCGGGCTGAAGGAGTTGCCGAAGAGAGGCATCGCACGCTGCTGGCCAGGCCTACCGTGGGTTCCTGAAGGGGCAGGAGAGATGCAACGGGTGTGAGGCTGTGGGCCAAGAGCAGTGATGTGACAAGGCGGCTGTGCTCCCCAGACAGAGCTCCCCAGCTCTCAGGCCAAGATGGCGATTGGGGGGTCGGGGTCCTGGTCGCCTCCCTGTCGCTGTCACCAGGCAGCACCTGCCCTCAACGTGCACGTCCCTCGCACCTCCGCCGCCACGTGACCGAGCGGGGCGGGTGACAGAGGACGGACGGTGTGAGGTGTCACCCTCCTCCCCTCCGGCCCTCTCCGCCCCCGGCCGGTACCCCCAGCGCCGCGCGGCCCGGCACCTCGGGGGGGCACGGGCCGTACCACCCTACGCGCACGCCGAAGAGCTGGAAGGGGAGCCCCGCGGGGCTCTATTGGCCACATGGGCCACCACCGGAATGCTCCTTTGTTCTGTTTTCCCTCCCGGCATCACTGGCGAAAGCAGCGGGTTGGGCAAGAGCGAAGCCGATGAAGAATACCCCCTACCCCCCATCCCCCCCGCACCGCAGTGGTAGGGTCAGCCCCGCGGTGCGGGGGCGGTTGAGCCGGGCTGTTCCATCGAGCTTCGCCTTAATTCCGGGGGGGGCGCACCTTTTCGTCGGGCCACGCCCGCTCCCGGCTCTCGCCGTCCGCCGCCGGTGGGATCCGCCGCGTGTCCCGGGAGCGGTTTGCGGCCGCCGCGTTGCCGTGGCGATGGGATCCGCGGCTCGGCTCCGCCTCCTGTGGTGGAGGGAGACGGGGGCGGAGTGCCGGGCAGGGAGCTTGAGGGTCGGGCTCTGCTCACGGGCGGGCTGCGTCAAACTAGTGCCGTGCTCACCGCGCTTTCCTTATCACCTTCCCTAAAATGCTCGAATAGCCTGGAAGAGTTGTTAAAATTGTTTTTGGTGGTGATTGTTTGTTTAATTTTCTACATAAATAACTAAACGCCATGAGGCAGAGAAGCCCTTCTTGGCTGGGGGCGTGGGGAGAAGAAGTAGAGGAGGTTTGGCGTCCTGGACTGCACGGGTCCAGGGTATGATGGCTGAGGAGCTGGAGAGAGAAGAATCGTAAAGAATCACAGAATCAGCTAGGTTGAAAAAAATCTCTGAGATCATCAAGTCCTGTCTTTGACAGAACACCACCATGTGAACGTAACCATGACCCTAAGTGCCCTGTCCATCTTTTCTCAAACTCCTCCAGGGACCGTGACTCCACGGCAGCAGCTCCTCACACGCTTTCCTTTGAAGCAGTCCCAGCATACTGATTTCCTGTGCACATTGCAAAACCTTCCCTTTCAGCACATGATGAAATAAATTTAGATTCATTGTGTTACTTGCTGGCTTGTATTGCATGGGAGGTGGCAGTGGCAGCTGGTTTGGATATTTTGAATGAATGGCATGGGTATGTAACACATATCACCAACACTTTTTATGTTACAGAGGCAAAATGCCACTTCTAAACTATAAAATAATTCTCCAATATGTTAGAATAGCGATTTGAAGTTACTTGTTTCATTGTTTAAAAAGCTTAGTTGAGGACTTCCTGGGGCTTTCCTGAAAAATTTTGGGTTAATGAGATACTAAGATGCTGACTTTAGTTAAAAGGGAACAATAAAGGGGAAAAAAAAGCAGGGGGCAGGTAGATAAAGGAGGAGAAAAGAAAAGAATCACCAACATTTTGATTTGGTTTGTGCATGTATTAGTACTCCAGGAAAAAAAAAAAAAGTTATCTAATAGTCTTTCATTCCCAGAGTGCTTAATTGGCACCCTGCCTTAAGTGAACCAGAAAATTGCTCGCTTGGAATGAGAATTGGAAAAATAGCACGGTTAAACCCAGTGACTTGAGACAAGAAAAATCTCTACTGCTGCAGTATCTTTCGGTAGTCCAGTTAACCAATATCTGGTTCTTGCAGGACACATGCTATAAAAACAGTTGCCTTCTGACCCAGTATACTAGAGTCTGTGCACTGGAAAGAGGTGATTTTTGCAATAAGAGAAGTGATTATAATGGGGGGGGAAGTCAACATCCTTAAAAGTAGAATAAAATCTCGCTGTTCAGAGCAAGGTCTTTGTGAAGTAGTTGTGGCTTCTATCACCATTTAATACCCATAGGTGTGTGCATATATTGGGTAAGAAAGATGAAAGAAAGGTCCAGATAAATGAGGGCAAGAACTTTGGAAGAAAAGCTGAGAGCATGTAGAATTACAATTTTGAAATGAGAAAATAAAGGCAGCTTACCTGGGCGCTTATAATAGCCAAAGACCATAGAGGACGGTGAGGAACTGAGCTCAGTTTTCTCGGGGTGTTTTTTTCAGTAATGTTCACCTTTCTAGAAGAAATCTGTATGTTTCAGAATAGTTGTTGCCTGAGTTCTCCTTGTGCTGAGCAGGATGAGTATTCTAGAAATACACTGTAATTACTGTAAAACTGAACTGCCTCATGCATCTGGGGTCTCAGAGTGATTCTCTTACTGCTTCTTTTTGTGGAGTAGAGACTTGGAAAAAGCCAGGCAGCCCATCCCCACTGCCTTGGCATGTGAGGTGAACGCTTCCTTCTGTGCCTGGTTGCTGTGCCCACAGTGGATAATACCTGTGTGAATGGTCTCGTAGTTGGTAGGGCTTATCAACAAGAGGTCAGAAAGCTGCCCCTGGAGACTACGGGAAGGAGGTTCAGTGTTTTGATTTCTGCTGTGATTTGCTTCAGGAATCTCTCTTCTTGTGCATGGTTTGATGAAATTTCATTTCTCGACAGACTCCATTTCCTTGAAAAATGCTGTGGAATTTCCTCACTGTACCAACCTCCCAGGGTATTTTGGCAGCAGCTTTTCATCATTGTTTCTCCACCTACATCAGGTAGATACCAAGACAAGAACTGACTGTTGTTGTTTCTAGCATCGTCTCTCAGTACATTGCAAATACATACATATATGTATTTATATATAGTTTGACATATGATTTTCAGCTATGTTAGAAGCATTATGGTGTAGTAGTATGCATCCTTCTGTTCCTGTCACTCTGTGGGGAAAAGAACACTTAGCACATAGTCTTTCTCCCAGGACAATAACTACAGAGCTCACTTAGGAACTGCAAAAGCCCATTAAATGGTGAAGAACCTGTATGTTACAGTCATTGTGTAAGGAAGCTGCCTATGTTCCCAGGAAGACATCTTTGAGAACACTGGTGGAAGGCTGAAAGATTGACAGGATGAAGATAGGGCTGCAGCACATGGCAGTGTGGAAATTTTGGAATAGACCCAAGCTGTTCTTGGTTGCCTAATTTGGAGCATCTTCTTCAGCTTTTTTGGCTCAAAAGTGATAATCTATAGCTTAGATGTTCTCAGAGCTGCCTCTGACTCCATAGTGTTTCTCTTGCTTTTTTTCATATATGCTGCAGGATTATTATTGTTCTCTGTTATATCAATAATTACAGGGAAACCCCATCAACTGGTGAATTCAGTAGACTCACTCTGAGGTCAAAGAGAGTATTTATTTTAGTTATTGTATTGAAAGTTGCTACATTGCCAGGTCGTTATGGATAGGTAAGGCTTTATAAAGCTTTACCTATCGGTAACACTTGGTGAGGTAAATGAGACTGAGTTTAAAACCTATAAACTAAAACTTTTTTGGCATATTGAAATTAATTCCCTGCCCAATTAAATTTTTCAGCAGTGAGGTCATTCTTGTTGCTTCAGTGCTGTGCAGTTAATAATGTCCCTTCTTTTAGAATCGTAGATATTAAATACCTCACCTATATTTTCTTGACAAAGCCGACGCTTCTTTTTCTCTCTCTGTGTCTTTATTTCACTATAGCTAACTCAAGAGATGAAAGAATAGCCGTTTCGCTGCTTTGTAAAGAAATGTGCTTTCCTCCCGCTCGGCTGTCACAGATTCCACCACCAGGAGGCCCTCGTTCCAGTGCTAATAGCTAAGCAGAGAAAACACAAGGAGAGTGAAGTGGAGAAACCCATCCGCACAAGAGTAATCTGAAATCAATACTTATCCTATAAAATGAGACTTTCAGAGTACTGTGCAGGCGTCTATTATCTAATTATTGCGAGTATCCTAATATCCAGCTATGATGGATGCCATGACTTTTGGAGATAATGGAATGTCTGTCACAGGTGGTACCCTTCATGGAATAGCTGATTGATAGCCAGGAAGCTTCGTGCCTCTGTCTTCTAGATGGGTCTTAGGAACCTAAAAAAAATTATAAAATGCAGTAAAGCGCGGGTTATATTTCTCATCCCTCATGTGTGTCCTCTATCACCCAACAAATATGCCTTCATCTACTTTGCCTCTGCCTTCTCCCTTTTAGTTACTTACTTATTTAGTGGGTCTTAATTCTCTTTCACTTTTCACAGCTGGCTTTTATAGTGTCCTAAAAGTTCTAAATATCTGCACTAACACTCTTTCTGATTGTTTTATTTTGTTAACCAGACCTTTAAAGAAAGGAGGAAGGAGAAATGTTTTTATCCTTATTTTTTTACAAATCATGCACTTCTTCTCTGCTGGCTTTTCAAAGCTGCAGTCATTACTTTGGCTGAAATGTAGACTTTATTATTCAAAAGAACACTGTGTACATGATCTCTTGACCAAAAAGAATGTAGAGTTGTCATCCTTTTTTCCTTAAACTCTATTTATTTTTCTCTTCACTGCTGAGTCAAGCCTTGTATATCTGCTTCTGTGCTTATTTCCCACGGTTATGTTTCAGTACTGATGAGTCCAAGACACAACTTTGCAATGCAATTTCAGAATGGATGAGAGGTGAGAATAGTTTTGCTTGTCAGGAAAGACAGCTCCTGCAAGCTGTAAGTTACCCTCAGTTGCAAACTGAGTTACCCCTTGTCTTTCAAACTCAGTTCCTGCCCTTCTTCCCTGAATTCATACATACATACAACAGGTTTACATTTGTGTACTTTGGCCTCTCTAATATGTACTAACGTGGAAAACATGTATCCTCTGCTCTAAGAAGCAGAAAAAGTATAAATTAAGCCATGCATGAAATATGCAAAGTTCCTCTGAGGAGGTTTTCCAATCATTGCTCACCATTCTGGCCACACTGTTCACTTAAAAGAGTTTACACAAACATGCAGGCAGTTGAGCCACTCACATGCTCTAGAGAAGAATCCATTACTTCTGACAGAGTTTGCCACAAGGCTGACCTTGGAGACTGGGAGACCAAAGGTTCAGGGAACATGTGCAGCCTACATAGCAGTGAAAGCTTCTGTTAAGCTTTATTTCACTCTGTTCCTATTACCTGGCTAGTCTTTGCTTGCTTCCACATCTGTATTTCATTCTTCTCCTTGAGTATTATTTTCATAGTCAACTGTTTCCATGGCTCACTTAAGATCCCCTTTCTAGGAAATGATGAAATTTAAGCCTCCAGTCTCTATGCTCCTGATGAGCAGATTCAGGGAAAGGGAATACCTCCCAGGATGCCTTGATCTATAGGTCTTACTCTGCACTAATTCTTTGTGTTAGAAAGGTATACCTGTGGATGGTCTCTTACCAAATGCAAAAATTGGAAGTATCGGTCTTTAGATGATGTGGAGTCTGCAACAACATGACAGTGGACTGTGTGGCCCAGAGAGTCCTTTTGGGACATATGCAGATGACGTTGCTTTTCAGGC